TTTTCCACTCAGTTAATTCTTCATCGGTGTCTAACAAAAATTAAAAGAAGATAAATTTAGAAAGCAAAAACTCAATATCATGTTGACATTGCTCCAACCTGTATGGAAAATGGAAATACAAACACCATAAAGCTTAAAGTGGCAAGGAGAATAGAAATATTGATTTCAACAACATGTGATACTCCATTAGACAGACCTTCATTTTCCTCAGCAAGATCTCGATAGCGTTTCTGCTGTTCCAAAAGCAACGTGCTTCTTTCCCCAGATTTTGTAGCTATCTGATCTTGCAGTTTCCGCAGGTCTTTCAACGTTGATTCAGTATGATGTATCTTACCATCCACATTTTTTATCTCTCTCTCAAGCTCCTGCATTTGATTTTTTAAAGTTTCTGTTTTCTCTTGATCTTGCACAATGCTTTCTCGAAGCTGGACAAAAATAGATCTATTTATTAAGATCTCATATTTGAGAAAACAATCTTTAAATTATACAATCAGGAAAAAAAGAGCATGCTCAACAAGATTAATGATACACTTAACAGACACCTTATCTGAGTCAAGTAAAAATTATGAAGCAACATTTCAGAGGAACAACTGATTTGCAATTAGATTGGTATCAGCATAAATGCAATACACATAATACGGACAAGAGAAAAACATTTAATAACAACTAATGCAAATTCATAAAAGAGAAAGGAAATTAAACAGTATTAGCAAATTGTCAAAAGAGAAATAAACATAAAAAGCATTTGGTGCAATGGAATGGTAAAATTGACAGATAAACAGAAAGTATTCTTAATTAATAGGCTACACTTGAACAGAAAAGAGTCTCCAATAATATTTTTGTTGATTTTGCCAAACTTTATGTGTATAGTAACTAGTTTGGCATTATTCTCAAGAATATTAGTTGCAGCATCTCTTTTAAAACTTTATAGACATAATAATAATAACAACAACTTCTACACAGGCACTACAAAACCTGACACCATATTCACCCTATGGCAAGGAAATAGAATATACTCAAAGAACCACAACAAGACTTCACCGCGGTAAGCAAATCAACTCTATATGCATATTACAAGACATAGAGCATATTTGGCTAAGCTTAAAAATTTTACTTATAAGTAAAGAAGTTATAAAATTTAAAAAAAATATCGATCAAAACTGAAATTAAGTTATGTTTTTTACATTAGTTACTTTCAAAATAAGTATCCTTTTTCTTTACTCTGAAAATAAAACTTACTTAAAAGGAACATTTACTTATTTTTAAGCTTAGGAAGACATGGTCATGGCCTCACATTACCAAGGAGTTATGACCAAGTGTCATCTACATGTGAATGCTTGGAAAGCTGATGAGACAACAAAGTGAAGGGACATAGGAAACCTATGAAGTGCTAATTCAAAAGGGGATATTTCGTACTAGCTTCAGTGAAAAAAAAATGTCATTAAAGATCACATCATTTTCAACGTCTTATCTACCACAGCATCTAATAAAAAAGAATTAACCTTGTATGCAGCATCTTTCAAGGTTTGTAGATTCTCCAGTTTCAGCTTATATGTCTTTATCTCTTGACCCTGATCTTTGTGAAGCTTTTTTATAACCTCCAAGGCCTTTGTGTATCTACAGAATAAATGTAAAATAGATGTTATCTTGGTTACAAGTCCTATAAAACAGAATTTTATCATGCCTTTACAGATACATCAAAAGCTTTTACTTGCTCTCAGTTGCAAGCATCCAGCAACAACAAAAAATGGCCTTCTCAGAGCCAGAGGACTAAATGAAACTAGCCATTTAATTAGGATTCCGCTTGCGAAAATCATCATTTAAATCCATTAAAGTCCTATGAAACCTATTACTTATTTTGTTTTTCCAGTAACAAAAAGCTATTCCAAAACCCATCAATTTTATCCAAATTATATATCGAAGAGAAGAGAGCGTCAATAAGTATGAAATTATAGTGCATGTTGATTCAAAAAAGATTCATGCTAAAATCTCGAGATATACAAAAATTAGATAAAAGCAAACCTAAAACAAACATATAAAGCAATAAATTAATGCATCATCTTGTAGAGCAATAAATACCTAGTAGCGGAGAAGATGTCATCAAACTTCTTTTTCAGTGTAGAAGGATCTTGTAATGGCCAGTTGGCCTCATCTTGATGAACAAAAATAACATTCTCAAGAATAGCCTTAGAAACCCCCATAAGAGCAGGAATTTCCCGGTCCATATCAGCACATCGGTAGCTTAGGCAAACCTTCTGTTATTTCCAAATCATTATAGAAATTCAAGTGAGAAGCTATTAAATTTTGTGATGGCTGTAACTGTCAAATGATGAAGAAAACAATATGAGTCGCTTAACTGACTCGAGACACAACAGATAGGTACATAAAAAAGAAATAAACAAATACACACTAATAAGTGAATACAATATCACAGTAATAACTACAAAACAAATAAAAACACATACAACCAACACAAAAAGATATTCAACATATTTCAGCAGACATAACCCGCACTTGGCATAATATACAAGAGGTATGATACCCACGAGCAACATTAATACGTTCAGTCCTCTTTCCAATAAACTTGTTCCTATTCTAGACTACAATGTGTAAAAGGTCTTATCTGTTATCCGTCTCTTTCTTTCTTCTTTTATAAGCACGTATGTTTGTGTGAGTCTGTCACTAAACAGTAACGCAATTAACACCAAACAACAGGTAACACTCTGTTTGAAACTGTAGATTGTCAGCATAAAGCTTAGAACAGCTGCATTACTTATTGATGTACTAAAGATTTGTCGAGGAAAATCCTGATGTATGGTCGTGATCAAATCACTGTAAGTTAAACAGTAGAAGTGCATGTCATTGTCAAGAAAATCACCACATTCCTTAGGGTCTTTGTAAGCTAAAAGTACATTGCTACCAACATAAACCGCCAAATTCTAACGACTAGATTGAATATATAGACTGATTCACAATCCCAGCAAATCTTCAACACATACAAGGCAAACGAACTATTACATGAAAAGGGGAATTTCGAACTTAAGAAAGTTCCACTGACCAGAAACTTTAGCCAATACACATCACAGTTTTCGACCTACTCGCATCAGAATAATGCTATATACGAAATGCTTACATGGTATTCGTGTTGTCATAAGGAATATTATAAACATGCACAAACTGCAGCCAAAAACACCAGCATCAAAATACTTGTAAAACCAGTATATCCAAAATCAACTCATATTACACAATACTTGCATAATGCATAATGCATGACTGATAAAACAATTCACTCTCATATGCAAGCGGTTGTTCCACTCCTTTTCATTTAGTTGCTTCAAAATTCCCATGAATTCGAAACACTTTCCAGAAAATAGAGAAGAAAGTACTTCTTTCAAATGCAAAACATTTAAAGAAAAGGAATATGCTCAAACTCTAATATCCAAAATCAAAACATATTATGCAAAATACATTTTTGTCTCAAAATAAAATTACCTCCAAGTGCCTCAAAAGTTTACACGTGATTCAAGCTCACGATTAATGCACGTGGAAAGATACACACGCCACACAATCATATTAAAGCCTTGAGATTATGAAAGTGGTTATATAACAATAATGAATAAGGGGTGAAACAATCATATCTTAGCTATTTATTACCTCTCCAGTATGAGGATTTATTGTCTGGAGCACAGACTCAATGGCCTTGTACTCCATCTTGGTAGCCTTTTGGGTCAGCTGGAAAGACC